TCTGGCCTGGTCAGCTGTTGTGGTCAGCTGTTGTGTCTGGCCTGGTCAGCTGTTGTGTCTGGCCTGGTCAGCTGTTGTGTCTGGCCTGGTCAGCTGTTGTGTCTGGCCTGGTCAGCTGTTGTGTCTGGCCTGGTCAGCTGTTGTGTCTGGCCTGGTCAGCTGTTGTGGTCAGCTGTTGTGTCTGGCCTGGTCAGCTGTTGTGGTCAGCTGTTGTGTCTGGCCTGGTCAGCTGTTGTGGTCAGCTGTTGTGACTGAATGAATAGGTTATCAGACTTGAGAAAGGTGAGGGAGGACACTGGGAAAATGATCAGAAAGTATGCGAGGAACTTGACAAAAGCTCTCAGGAAGTATTCAAGCTTGAACCTAATTTGCCACCAGAACTTAAGGCCCAAACTGCTTGATGCTTGACACCTGCTTGATGAGGTTCTGGGACTTCCAGAGGAATGCCTCACCGACATAACCGTGACACCTGAAGAAGTAAAGAATCAACTACGGGAACTGGATGTGACAAAGACTGCGGGACTAGACAAAGTATCGCCATGAATACTAAAAGAGGCAGCTAAAGCACTGTGCAGCCCACTTTCTATAATATTTCATTCCTCTCTAGAAACGGGAGAACTTCCTGGCTGCTGGAAAATGGCTAATGTGCTACTAATGTAGAAGAAACGGGGGGTGGGGGGGGTGGGAGACAGAAACCGTTAAACTACAGACCCATATCACTAACAAGTATCCCCCTGCAAGCTGCTAGAGAGAGAGGCTGATCCGAAGCTAACAATGATATACGGATCAGAATGAGCCAGGAGCCAACTGTGTTCCCGAGCCTTCATGTGGTCGGCTGACCTGATCAGATGAAGGCTCTCATTAATTAATCTGTTGAGTGAACAAGTTCCAGATACGAGTGAGCCTAAGAGTGAATGATAGCCGATGTAGTGATGGTCTTGATAAAGGCAGTTCAGGCATAAGGCTGCTGATGGTCGAGAGTCTTGTGTCACGGGTGCCAACTACTCCATGTCCACCAAGCAGAGTCAGGTGGGGAACTGTGAGACTGTTGGCCTTGTACATCACAGTAAGTCCACCAACGTCACGACGGTGTTAGAGGCCTTGATCAAACCACTCCCACCAGACTTGATCAAGACTAGAGATTTGCCATCTTGCACGATTCTTCCCTTTGTGCAAGTCAGATGAATGGTGGAGGGGAGGTGATCCAGGAGAGGGGTACACACTCAAGATGAGACTAAACTTGGTGCTTCATATAAGGTTTTGCAACGCGTGCTGTCAAGAAGGAGAGAGATGCGCCGTAGGGCTGCAAGTTTCCTCGCTGCCTTTTGGCCTCTTCCCTGTCATTGTAGAGTCCAACTTCATTCCCAAATGTAAATTTCATCTCTGGACTCTAGGTTTTTACCACCCATTTACATGCCTGCTGACTTGCAGTGTGCAGTCTAATTATGATCGCCAGAGTTTTCTCACATGCAAATCTGACCCGTCATCTCCTTTCCCAGGAAGAAATCCCTGAAAGTTGGTGAATGACGAGTCTTATAGCAGTTAGCATATAGCAGTTAGTCAGAAAAGTTACCACAGGGATAACTGGCTTGTGGCGGCCAAGCGTTGAATCGACTTGAGAATGATACAGGACGGACCGAAACGTCGTCGTCCCTTCACCTTCTAGTGTGTGATCTGGTCAACTTACTTTAGCCACGTTATTGTGTCTCATCGCCTGCAGTTAGCATTCCTTCCTTTCCAAATGTAAAGTTAACGTGCAGCTGTCAGCACAGACTTCAGCTTCAGGAATGAGCCGAGTAAATCGTTGAAATAAACATTCCACAGCAGAGGGCCAAGCACATTACCTAGAGATACGCTGGCACCAATCGAGTGACTTTCAGATACTGCTCCATTAAGGACTACTCTTAAGAGTCCGTTCTTGAAGGTAGTATCCTTTATTGGCTCTAAGATGGAACCTGAGATACCTAGTGCTTGAAGCTTCACTAATAATCCAGAGTGCCAGACCCTATCAAAGGCTCCTGCTATGCCCAGAGCAACAACACAGCTGATCTTGAACTCATCCAGTGACTGATGCCACATAATGGAGAAATTTAGCATGAGATCAGCAGCAGACCGCCCTTTTCTAAAACTATATTGTCGATCACATAGTAGCCAATGATAGTCAAAAAAGTTACCAACTACTGAGCGGCTCTTCTTTTTGTGCACTGGAACAACGTCTGCCTTCTTCCATAAGGAGGGCCAAATTCCTTGAACTAGGCACAGTTGGAAGAGGCGCGTGAGAGGTGGAGCCAACAGGTCAGCGCAGCAGCGTAGTAGTCTTGGACTGACCTTATCTGGCCCCACAGCTTTGCTTGTGTCTAGCGTGTTAAGGAGATGGAGAACTTCAGCCTGATTTATAACCACTTCAGTCAACTTAGACACAGTGCATGGGGCAAGATGTGGAGGCTGACGTTCAGGATCAGGGACCTGCATCTTGGAAGCAAAGTGGTTTGCCAGTAAATCAGCCTTCTCCTGATTGCTGGTTGCCACAGTACCATCTTCTCTGTTTAGAGGTGGGATTGTGTCCTCAGATGAGTACCCCTGCCGATCCTTCACCAGGGACCACCAGACCTTGGATCCAACCCTTCCAGATGCAAGTTTTCTTCGAGTTTCGGATTCCCATCTGGATATAGCCCACTTTTGAACTTCTTTCATTATTCGACAAGATTGTCTATGAATGTTTCTGTTATGAGCAGAGGGATGCCGTTTAAATCTCCTCCAGGCCTTGTTTTTGGCTTCAGCTGCCATCCGGCAGCGATATCCAAACCAAGGCTGATCAGTGGGCTTGGTCACATACTGCCGGTGAGGGATATGCCTATACTGGAGGTCCAGTATATGACTGGTGAAAGCGTTTACTTGGCTGTTCACGTCCCCCTGGAGCAAGGCATGCCAATCAGTTACTTCAAGCTCTGAACGTAGGGCTGGCCAGTTCCCTCTGTCCCATAGCCAGGTAGTACGAACAGATTCTTCACCTCGATCTGTCGGGATAGCCAGTGTAGTAAAGACAGCCTGGTGGTCTGAAGAACCAACATATCCCAGAGGTCTGCAATTAACAATATTTGCAGGAAGGTCAGTTACGACAGGATCAAGGGACGAGCCTGATATGTGGGTAGGAAAACTCACAAAATTTTCAAGGTTAAAAACTGCTAAGAGTTCATCAAAATCCCTCTGTATAAGATACTGGTTGAGGTCACCTACAATTATAATGTGCTGACAGTTGTGCTGCATTAGCAGGGAGTCTAGGTTGTCCATCAGGAAGGTGATTGGAGAAGCACCCTGCCATTGAGGTCTGTACATTGCACATAAGAGAGAATTGAGGTACCTGGATTTAAGCATACTTTGAAGAACATAATTTCAAGATGACCAGGAATGACCACATCAATGTGTTGTGCATACACAGATTTGCTGGTGCACACTGCAACACCCCCTCCTTGACCCTGCCTATCTCGCATATGACCTATATGACCTGACAGGAGAATCTGGCTCCTTCATATCAATGTTTGGGTGTTGAGCTTTGGGTGTTTGGTTCCTAGCGAGTACTAAGTGGCACCAGCTCTGGCACCAGCAGGGCCATCTAGCGAGTACTAAGTGGCACCAGCTCTGGCACCAGCAGGGCCACCTAGCGAGTACTAAGTGGCACCAGCTCTGGCACCAGCAGGGCCACCTAGCGAGTACTAAGTGTCACCAGCTCTGGCACCAGCAGGGCCACCTAGCGAGTACTAAGTGGCACCAGCTCTGGCACCAGCAGGGCCACCTAGCGAGTACTAAGTGGCACCAGCTCTGGCACCAGCAGGGCCACCTAGCGAGTACTAAGTGTCAGCAGCTCTACAACATACCCATCATCTCATGTGACCATCAAACATAATCTGTGTGTGTATGTGTGTGTGTGTGAGGGGGGGGGGTTGAGATGCCAACTGCACTCTCCTAGTGGTGGTGTTTTTGATAGAGTTTTTTTGCGTGCTCGGGGCTATATCTTATGTAACGTGTGACCTCTTAGGAGAGAGTACACGCTCTTGTAGGGAAGAGTTCGCACTCACTCTTTTAGAAGAGAGAGAGAGTACAGGTTGTGTATGTGTGCTGGCCACAGGTAGACCTGAGGCTCTCTACAGCATACTAGACAGTTGTCCTGAATTAGGACTTAGAATACCTAGGACTGCGAGGCCCCTCACCCCGACCCCTCCAGAGGTAAAAGCAAAAGCTCTGGAATATATACAAACAGATCCATAGGGGAGCGTGCCAGAGATACCAAAACGGAGGAAGAACCAAAGTCAGTAAGCATTTGGAACCAGTTCACAGAAGACGGCGCTCTAGTTCACAAAAGATAAAAGAGGCAGAATTTCTGTACAGTTCAGTATTATGGCGGATGTCGTCTCTTGTGCCTCCTTTATTCTGTATTCCTGTTGCTCCCTTACATCACTATTTTTCTTCTGCTTCCTCCGCCTCAACCACCGCCACAGTTGCCAAACACCGACCGACTCAAGCCTCAGATCTCAAAGGCCATTCCTTGCCTGTGTCCCACTTCACGCTGGATGAATGGGTAAGTTGGTGAGGGTCAGTTTGACTGGTGTCCTGGGTCGCCTCACTCAAGGGCGCTTCACTCATCACTATTAAAAAAGAGCTTTTAAAACTGTTAGGAGCTGGCAACGGGAGGGAAGGAACGAAGCCGAAGCCACTGGTCGACCTATGCCCTCCCGACACACTTGAGCGACTCGGTAAGCCACAAAACATGAGGGAAAATTGCCGCCGCGTCCGAATCTCTACGGTGGGCGAGGGCTTGAGCGGGCGAATTGGCCACATCTGTACAGCTGTTGGACACGACGACAGGTGTGGGCCGCCCTGCTGCTGACGCAGTTATGAGGCTAAGGTCGCTGCCGACGGAGGTAGGGCTGGAGAAGGGCTGTGTGGCGGGAGATGGTGAGGGAGGCCGCCTGGCCACGCCCTGGGACGCCGCCGGTGTGTGAATGTTGGCGGGCAAGAGTCACGCTGCCGCCGCCACCAGCCCCTGTTCCGCCGCCTCCAGGCCCTGTTCCATCGCCACCCATTCTGCCGTTCAGCCGCCGCCACCAGCCCCTGTTCCGCCGCCTCCAGGCCCTGTTCCGCCGCCTCTAGCCCCTGTTCCGCCGCCTCCAGGCCCTGTTCCGCCGCCTCCAGGCCCTGTTCCGCCGCCTCCAGGCCCTGTTCCGCCGCCACCAGGCCCTGTTCCGCCGCCACCAGGCCCTGTTCCGCCGCCACCAGGCCCTGTTCCGCCGCCACCAGGCCCTGTTCCGCCGCCACCAGGCCCTGTTCCGCCGCCACCAGGCCCTGTTCCGCCGCCACCAGCCCACCATTGGACGTACAGTGGGCAACAAAGGCACAATACAACAAGGATCAGCTGTAAGAAGCCCAGTACGTCGACGGTGATTGGTCGATATTGCCTTAATATGGAAACTATATCATCTGTGATTGGTTAACAGAAGAAGTGCATTGGCGGGGATTGGCGAACAAAATAAACACGTGTTCGAGATTAGTAGAGCAGGTGTAGGACGTGACCACATGTGCTGGACATGAGGACCACACGTGCTGGACATGACCACACGTGCTGGACATGACCACCACACGTGTTGGACTTGACCACACGTGTTGGACTTGACCACACGTGCTGGACTTGACCACACGTGCTGGACATGACCACCACACGTGCTGGGGTGCCATAGGCGCAGTCAGAGAACACTGAATATAACATCAGAAGCCCACGGTTGTTCAACATTCTCAGGGGTGTATAAGAAATGTGGCCGGAACGAAAGTGGACGTCTTCAAGAAAAAAAAAACTGGTCAGTTTTCTGCAAGAAAACTTTCGCTGAGGGATCACGCTATTTGTGTCCCAAAAATCAGTACACGCAGTTTGGGGAAGGATGCAAGTTTGGGTCCTAAGTGTCCATCCCAAAATGCCATCTATTTTCCCGATTATTATTATGCAACTTGTTTTAAAATGTAAGCCAATGTCTTGGCGGGGGGGGGGGGGGGGGGGGGGTCGTGGTGGAATAGGGTGGGGGGGGTCGTGGCGGGGGGGGGGGGGGTCGTGGCTGAGGAAGGGTGGGGGGTCGTGGCTGGGGTAGGGTGGGGGGTCGTGGCTGGAATAGGGTGGGAGGTCGTGGCTGGGGTAGGGTGGGGGGTCGTGGCTGGGGTAGGGTGGGGGTCGTGGCTGAGGAAGGGTGGGGGGTCGTGGCTGGGGTAGGGTGGGGGGTCGTGGCTGGGGTAGGGTGGGGGTCGTGGCTGGGTAGGGTGGGGGGTCGTGGCTGAGGAAGGGTGGGGGGTCGTGGCTGGGGTAGTGTGGCAGAGATCTCCTATTTCAGAGCTAACTCAACTAGCATCTTAATCTGCATAATATTTGCATATTCCCACACTTTCTCTGGTTCAGGCCGGCCTGGCCGCCCAGATCAACCCGGGACTGTCCTTGGTAATCGTATATGAGGACATAAAGGCTTGTTTGGCTGTCGTGAAGGACTTTCATCCTTATGAAGAGTGACAAACAACGATTAAGAACCCTTTCTGAAGGAGTCTATCATCCTGTAGACATTTCTGTATAAATTCCTGTATTCCTGTAGATAGAGCCCAATATGCTCAGGAACCTGTACACCAGTTGAGAGGCGGGATCAAAGAGCCGAAGCTCAACTCACGCAAAGACAATTAGGTGAGTACACCCCTGGTACAATTATTACGAGACGGGGGCCCAGGAGCTAGCTCTCGCGGCCGTAGAGACGGTAAGCAGGCAGCCCTCGTCGTCACGGGCTCCAGGGTATCTGGGCATCACATCAGTGGTGATGCCAAGGGCGCCGGGCGGGCTCAGGTGCTCCTCCTCCACCCTGTCTGCCACCCCCCATCCTGTAGGAGGCTGCCTCTCTGCCACCCCCCCCCCCACCCTGTAGGAGGCTGCCTCTCCCACCCCCCCACCCTGCAGGAGGCTGCCTCTCTCCCACCCCCCACCCTGTAGGAGGCTGCCTCTCTGCCACCCCCCACCCTGTAGGAGGCTGCCTCTCTGCCACCCCCCACCCTGTAGGAGGCTGCCTCTCTGCCACCCCCCACCCTGTAGGAGGCTGCCTCTCTGCCACCCCCCACCCTGCAGGAGGCTGCCTCTCTCTGCCACCCCCCACCCTGTAGGAGGCTGCCTCTGTGCTCACCAGGGACGGGGGGGGGGATCTCTCTTTAAGGGACGGATCTCTGTGCTCAGAAGGTAGCTGTGCACAGGTGATGTTTCTTTGGCCAGGATGGGGGCTCTGTGCTCAGGAGGGGGGGCTCTGTGCTCAGGAGGGGGGCTCTGTGCTCAGGAGGGGGGCTCTGTGCTCAGGAGGGGGGCTCTGTGCTCAGGAGGGGGGCTCTGTGCTCAAGGGGGGGGAGGGTGAAGGGGAGGAGAGGTGGTCACAACTGGTGTGGTGTGGCGCGTAGTGTCACGTGACACTGATCTCCTCCCAACACTGTGTGTGCTCACTATCCTTTTTGTCCCTTGGGAATAAGACTAGGTTTCACCAGGCGGGGGGCTGAAATTCCTAATGAAACTGTAAGCTGTTATCAGCCTACATCAGCTCGTCTGACGCCTCACGCCGGGCTGGACGGTATAGCGACGGTAGAGCTTCGTGCACGTCGAAATGTTGAATGTTGTTAGTCTACTTCATGTAGAATGTTGTTAGTCTACTTCGTGTAGAATGTTGTTAGTCTACTTCGTGTAGAATGTTGTTAGTCTACTTCATGTAGAATGTTGTTAGTCTACTTCATGTAGAATGTTGTTAGTCTACTTCATGTAGAATGTTGTTAGTCTACTTCATGTAGAATGTTGTTAGTCTACTTCATGTAGAATGTTGTTAGTCTACTTCATGTAGAATGTTGTTAGTCTACTTCATGTAGAATGTTGTTATTCAACTTACTGTGAAAATATGACCTGACCTTCCAGTATCTGCCATTTATATTTTTTTTTGTTGCCGTTCTCGTTTCCAGAGAGTATATTAAGAGAGCTTTGAGACGATCCAAATAGTTTAGGTGCTTTGTCGTGTCTATGCGTGTCGTATATGTTCTCTATATTCCCCTCTGTTTCAGCATTCTCTCCCGCTCTGAAAGGGGAAGTGAGTACCGAGCAATACTCAAGACGGGACAGCACCAGTGATTTAAATAGTGTTAACATTGCTGTGGTTGTCTCTGGATTTGAACGTTCTCATAATCCATCTTATCATTTTCCTGGCCGCCGCTGTATTTGCTCAGTTATGTTCAATTTTATTTTTTTTTTAATTTTGCCCCGAGAGGCGAGTTTATTGGGCAGCGCCACTCATCTTGTGAGTGGACACACCGCCATAGCAGCATGTACAACACTCCCCAATAGGAAGAAAACCCGCTGGGTTGTTCATCCTGTCACTTGTACCCAGACAGCTCAATGTCAGGTCGTCAGACAAAATTCACACATCTTTCACATGGTGTTATTCCATCTGAGAGTAAATCTGACTGTCCTGTACTCTGTATATCGTTTTAAGTTCCTCGTTTCCACCATATCTAAGTACCTGCAACTTATCACCGTTTAGCATCATATTTTCCGTTGCCCAATCGAATATTTTATTAACATAAGGTAGTAGTTTTGCAGTTTCTTCGTCAGAAGTAATTTTTCATGTTGATTTTTGAATTATCTGCCAAGGATGATTAGTTGGCATTTGATATAAACTTTGTCAATGATATGTTACAATTGTGTTAGTTACTACTGGGTTGAAACCGGTGTACAATTACTCACAGAAATCACAATAGCGTGATGCATCAAATGAATAAATCCACAAGGGCCGTGACGGGGCTCGAACCTACGTCTGAGAGGATCCCAGACGCTCCCAGAGGTTCGAACCCTCGCCACGGCCCTTGTGGATATGTTCAGGTGTACAGTAACGGTGTACCAGAGCCTTCATGTGCTCCGTCGACTTGATTTTATTCGCTTCCTAATGTTGGGTAAACGTGTTCCAAACGCGAGAGAGAAGGTTAGATGTTTTCCATAGTTTAGGGTAAGCTTTACCCTAAACTTTACCCTAAGCTTTACCCCTGGAATACAGCTTGCCTATCACTTCACAACTAGGTCCCTAATTACTGCTGGGCGAATAGTTAAGGGCTGGTGCCCAGTCAATCCTCCCGAGTGTGTCAGGCGTGCAGAGGTGTAATGACTAAGTGTAGTTACAGGATGAGAGCTACGCTCGCGGTGTCCCGTCTTCCCAGCACTCTTTGTCGTATAACGCTTTGATAACTACTGACGGTTTTGGCCTCCACCGCTTTCTCACTTAACTTGTTCCAAGCGTCTACCACTCTGTTTTGGTCTCACAAAAGTCATGAACAGTTTCTTTAAGTATTTCACCATCCATATAATTAAACGCAAGTCTGAAGTTGGAAAGCGACGCATCCGCTCCTCTCACAATGTCCTTTATGTGCAGACGAGGAGTCACAACAACATGGCTGAAATATGTTGACCAAACCACACACTAGAAAGTGAAGGGACGACGACGTTTCGGTTCGTCCTGGACCATTCTCAAGTCGATTGTGAGAATGGTCCAGGACGGACCGAAATGTCGTCGTCCCTTCACCTTCTAGCGTGTGGTCTGGTCAA